GCAAAAGGTCTGCCTGTGAACCAGAGAGCCAAAGGATCCAGTCAAAGGCCTAGAGCTCTCAATAGTGACCCATGCAAGTCTGTGTCAGGAGCTGGAATGGTCCGGTCTTCAATGAAATGCTGAAGCATCTGCACTGGAAGCCGGGAGATGAGGGCCAAAGTGAAGGTGAAGAGTCAGGCTCCTCTGAAGAAACAAAAACAAGCCCGTCCTTCATTTCCCTTTTACAGCATTCTGACAATAAGCCTCCCGAGGGGGGTGTTGCACACCCAGAGCTGTGCTGAGCCAGTTTACTTGGATGTTTCTTATTCACACTGACAAACACACACACAGTTAACTATCACAGCTTCTGTCCCTGGATCTTTTAACATTACACATCAAAGGCCCTTTTAGCGTCTCCACCGAGTGACTCATACGTTCTGTTCAAAGTTGAGAACTCAGCCTCATCATTCATCATTAGCATTAAATGGATACTTCACATGTTAATGCGCACAGCTAACAACTTGATCCTGTAGTCCTTTACCCCCTAATTACCTTTGGAGGTTGCTAAACTCTGTCCTAAAGCCCTAGGAACCCAGGCCTGGAAGTCAATCATCCATGTTTACTCCTGTAAATCTTTGACCTAATAAAAGTGTATTATTTGTAAATAGGAGAATGAGACACCCATTTAAGATTGAAAAAACAAAAAAGCTTTTCTTTTAATAATGTCAGGGGACTTAATAGACACTTAGGCATCAGAGCCCTTGGCATCCTTATGGCATCCATATCAGTGATACGGTTTGGTCCTGTGTCTTTCTAACGCAGGGCATGAGGCAGGATATTCCCATACCACAACAGTAACCACAGAAGGTCACCACAAAATAAGGGTTAGAAAATCTGAATATTCTGTGAATTTTCCCATATCCATCTGTTTGACAAAGAGATTTATGCTCAAAGGCATAATTTACGCTCAAAATTTTGACCCCAAGTTTTCCTACTATAATTTTCAATTCTTCCTCTTATAAAGTTCTGGCTCAGAAACAGAGAATAAAAGGTATTGGAGCTTTTTTTTGTGATAGCTCTTCTCATTTTTGATGACAGCGCTTTTTAAATAAATTGTCACATTCAGGAAAGCAGTAGTGAAACAAAGACAAATGAAATTTGGTCCTGATCCTCTGGGAGTTAGTACTCTAAAGAAAGAGACCTGTAAGCCAAATATGATAAGATGAGGTCTTTGCCTGAAGGAATTTGATGTTACTGTTACCTCTTAGAGAAAAAAATCGCATTGCTTTGATCTTATACCTTCAGGTGCTATTCCGCTGAAGAATATTTACAATCACTGTCATCGTTATCTCTGTCATAACATTGTCTGAGCTGGGCTTTGTGGCACATTCCTACAATCCCAGCACTTGCAGGGCTGAGGCAGGAGAATTCTTGCAAGTTTGAGACCGGTCTGTTATAACATTACTATCTGAGGTACCTTGTGGGGACTAGACATGAGGCAATCACGTCAGGAGTTAAAGTTCTGGGGAGACCAAAAACTCTGTATCTAGGATAATGATATTTTACAGCAAATTTTAAAGAATAAAATCAATAACAAACAAAATATCAACATTTTAAAGACAGAATCATTCTGGTATTGGTCTCAGGTAGTATGAGATTACATACAAATAAAAACTTTTGCCGTTTTGTTTTAGTGGTATAGTCAAGCTTCAGTGATCCAAAAGGAATGTAAAATAAACCAATGAAGTGTTTATTTTGTTTTCTCTGTTACAAGCAAGAGATCTGACTTTAGCTCCAATAAAAAGAGGGTAGGAGGTTGATAGCTGACTTTCATTACACAACTAATGTTATGGGGAAGTCACATTGGAAATTCAATAACATAAGCCCTAAAAGGCTCTCGTAGAAAATGTACCTAGACTTACTCTAGATTCAAGAAACCTCTGCACAGATTTGGCAACAAAATTTGGTAGAGTTCGCGCTGGTGCTTTATAATTAGTAGACTCATCAACAGTGACCCCTGATTTGTCTGCATCTTGTGCTACCAGCTGACAGCTTCTTACTCTGCCCCTTTATCACATGGTTTGTATTCTAAACATAGAATCCAATAGACCTAGACCCTTTCTTTCTTATTCTTTTAGTAGCTCCTGATTGCAAGCTAAAGTTCCCCAAACCAGGTTCAGTGTTCTAAACTACATCGGTCAGGGAGGGAACTGAGTTGGATTGAAGTCCAGTGGGGCAATTGCAAAAGTGCAGTTGCATTTCAGGTGGTTTTTCTAAAAGTAAGTTGTAGATGAAGCATCCTCTCTCTCCAATATGCCAGCACTGTGAATTAGCAATTAAAAATGCCAAGAAAGCAGAGCAAATAGCAAGTTCTAATGAAATTCAGAGAAAAGAGAGATCACCAAGAGCCAGGATATGTTAATTATGCTATAAGAGCTTGCAATTATAAACCCCTAGATATGCAAATAAGTGCTGATAGCTCACCAGATTAGATTACAAAGTCATTTATATATGGCCTGTGATAAATGGACAGAAAGATAAATGATTTGTTTATAAATTCGCTTAGCAATTACACAAAGATATCTCCAACTACATCACTCCCTTTGGGGGACATCAGCAGGATGGAGAGCATCCCCACACACTACCCCTGGTTTTCCTATTCCTTATCGTCTAACTCTGGATGCTTAAAATAGGATAAACAGGCCCTTTCTCTTATAACTGGCTGACTCACACTGCCAAAAGTCATTTCCCCACCCATCTTCTTACTGACCTAATGGGAAGTGATGGTGGCATCTGCTCCTGCTGCCCAGATCCCAGCCACAGCAATTAGTATTTCTCGTCTGTCTGCAAAAAGGTCACAGGGAGTATAACTTCAGGGAAGGACTGAGATGCTGACTGCCAATGTTAGGCCTTTCTGAGAAACCCCTGCCATGAGTGACATTTACAATTGTGAACAGACAATGTTGCCAGACAAATACATGAAGTCCACCTGCCGTGGGTGGATGAACCATACACACCAAGTTCTTAAAGTTTTTCAATTCTAAACTCACAACTTTGGGGTTTCAGTCCTTGAAAATAGCCTGTGAGAGTGAATGACAGTCTAAAAAATTTATACCTAATAAACAGATTCAGAATAGCTTATGACAATCTTGAAAGAGCCAAATTTTTTTCTCTCAGTACAGAATGGTAAAAAAAAACATAAATCCATGTGTTCAGCAGAGCATCCATCCAGCTCTTGCCATGTGTCATCCCTCTGTTTAGCCGCATGTGCGCTGTGCTTTCTCTGTGTGGTACAATATCCTACGTAGTACGTAATATATGACAGAAGCCTAGGGCTATAATGAAGCTGTTAGATCGACATCTTCAAATATAAACTCCATTTTTATGCCACTTAAAAGGAGATTTTCATGATACTTTAAATTTTGTTATTTGGTTGCAAGAGGACTTTGTCAAGTGTGTCGGGTATTGTTATGTTTGGGGATTTTTTTCATCAATCTGTCCCTGAAGGTATCACGTGTTCTCAAAATCAAGAGTATATGCTAGGTGAGATTTGTTTTCTCTTTTAGCCAGTAACTGTATAAAATAACAATAGGGAAGGAACAGAATGGTACATGATAGGTAAAAGTGAACTTGTAATATCAGCAACTGTATTTTGCCTTGATGATAATTTGGAGTGTTGAGCAATTAAACATAAGCATGTAATCAATCCACGGTGAAAAAATTCTAGAAATGATGATAGGACAACAAACAAGATACTGAAGTAACAATATTCCATCCACAACATGGTTCCACAAAAGACACAGGTAAAAATTTCAAGAGTTTAACACTGGACAAATTACAGGGCTTCATTTCCATTTTCTTTAATTTTTTATAGTGTTCAAAGAGTAAAGTATCTTTCTTTGATTCAGTCAAATATAATTAGCAATTTTTAAAAGGTATACATTATATACATAAAAGGTATACATTATATATATAGAAGGTACACATTTGGTTCTGAAAATATCTTCCTAAATATGGCACTACTGTGATAAAAGGACTGGGAGAAAATTGCTAATATCATTTTGGAGGGTCTATGGAGTCAACATCAGACTAAAAAAAATTGAATCAGCCCTCCCAGGGGGAAAGTACAATGCTGCCGAGATGGCGTCATCATAAAAATGTTTTATGATCCAAAACAAGTCATCAGTTCCTTTACGCAAAGGTCCTGTTTTGGCAGTGGCAGTTTAGATCCACTACCACTTTGTATTTACTATTTTAAATATAGATGCTGTGAGTTCTCTAACATCTCCAAGCTCTAAATTATATAGTAAGGAAATAACATTCTTTCTAGTTTCCTGTGTAAAGTGAGAGGTTAAATGGACTGAATGTGTATTACCTCCTGTAGGCCCTGGTGATAAGTTTTCTTCATATTATATTTGCAGTCTTAAATTTTCTAAGAGTATTTCTGTAATTACTGGGTATGGTTTATATAACAAAAAGTGATACTAGCATAAATAAAAATAGTTTGTTTTACCCCACATTAAATAATTCCGTAGGCAGCATGGTATCACTGCGCACAAAATGACACAGGCAGTCACTTTGTTCTGCTCTCTGTATTGTTTGCCTTCATCCTCAAAATTGCTGCACAGTCCAAGATGACCACTGACTTCTCTAGCTGACCTGAAACCTAAATCCATCAGCTCATTCCAGGTCAGGAGAGAGGAGAAGGAGAGCAAAACTGCGAGGATTGCAGCTCAATTGCTTTCCCTTTAAGCAGCTACTCTGCGTGTTCTCCAAAACCTGCCTGACTCACACTGGATGGAACATCTTGATGGGTCCTCCTCTACCCACAAAGGAGGCAAAAGAATGAAGTATTATACAAAACATAACTGTGGGAAAGCTGGTTTCTGTTAGCTGTACATAAGGAGTAAATGGCATTATTTTGCATTTTTAATTTGCATGTGGTGAAATGCTACTAGTTACGCTGTTGTTCCTTGTGGGTGCTAACCATGCATATCTGTCTCTTCCTCTTGTATCACCAGGCCTCCGGAACCTGTTTACAGCACTGTGAACAAACTGTGTGATAAGCCTGCTTCTCCCAGGCACTATTCCCCTGTTGAGTGTGACAAAAGCTTCCTTCTCTCAGCTCCCTACCCCCACTACCACCTAGGCCTGCTCCCTGACTCTGAGATGACCAGGTACTGCATGCGCTTCCTCCCTCCAGCTTCTCGAATTGCATGTGCTTCCACAAGGATGAGCGGCGGAGTCCGCTGCTGCTCACTCCTCATGCGCTCAGCATCTTCCTCCTGATGGGGAGATGTTCTGCACCTGTGTACAATGAGAGACACTAAGCACATTGCTTTTCTGTTGCCTTGTGTGATCATAGAGCACATAGACATGATCACATGGTGTTCACATGTTCTTGATGTCCATATACTTGGATAAAGTATTAATTATATTACCCCAGAACAATCAATTTTGGAGTTTATCACCATTTTCCAAATACAGAAGTATAAATGAGAACATTTATTATTTTTGAGTAATATTTAATATTATTTACTATGCCCCAGGTATAACACAGCCTAAAGATAGATGCTATTATTGCTATTTAGTAGTTTAAATAAATAGTAAATTAATCTCACCATTTCACTGATTCCTTGCAGCATTATGCAACTTATCTGAAGTTACAGGATTAGTTGTTGCTAACTACAGTAAATATAAGCTTAATATTTATACCACGTTAAGTATATGTTCTCTTGTTTAATGACTTCTATCATTTATCAAATATTCAGTGAGGATAAGGCAAAACCATCAGTATTATCTTATCAGTAAATGTGGAGTCCAGATTTGATATCAGAATTTTGAGTCTGTCTGTAACAGCTTTGTAAACAAATTGTTCTAAATCTAAGGGCTGCACACAACTCTGCTTTAATACTCTAAAGTATATGTATGATACAGAATGAAAACCCTATCTGTGCATAGCACTAAGAGTCAGTGGAAGAGGAAAGTAAGAAAAATAGGATCCAGTGTTCCATAAGGTAATTCCAACTCAATTTAAATCAAGATCTCAGAGTAACGTTCCTACTCATAATAGACTGCTTATATAAATACGGTGTTAGATGCAATATCTATAAAATAATTATCAGGACTAAGAAAATAGAGAATGTAGAATGACTCAGAGCAAATGAATATATCAAGAGGATCTTCATAGAACATCATCTTTTTCATATTTTCAAAGAATTAGTTGAAACATCAATCCTTTGTCCCTATATGGGAAATAAATAACAAACTTTAAATTTTACCTAACTCAAAAAAGTTATTTTGGAGTAATCAGCCATAGAATTTTTACTTATTTGTAACAAAGCTTAATAGTATTTCATAATGGTCTTATAAATACTAACTAAACCATACAGCTTAATAAATTAAAAAATATTTCTAAATACAGTGAACTCTACCATCTTGAAGCTAAGAGTACAAAACCAGTATAGCCACAGGGAGGTGGGAAGGTATACCTGCCTACAACAATTACTCTCTGCCAATCTGGACTCTGTTGTCAGCTGCATAAGGCAGCTAGTGTTCACCGAGGTCTTCCTTTAGCCAAGCATTTTGTTAAAGTACTTCTTGGGAATTATTTCTTCCAGTTCTCACAGTGACCTTATGAGGTAGCTATAATCACTGTTCTTTGTTTTATAAGTGAGAAAATGAAGATGAGAAGTGGCCTAAGTGTCCAAGATCATCCACTAATAAGTGGCAGAGCTGGGAGTTAAACCCAGGTGACAACTGACCTGTGGGTAGAATATTAGCCCCTGTGTTGGCACAAGCATAATGGCAGAGACATTTTTGCTCCCTGCAAAAATTTCCCATTGATTTCTGTTTTTCTGTTCTTTACCTAACTTTATCTTATATCTTGTCTCTGTTTCTTTGACTCAGTGTCAATGAATCTCTTTTTTTAAAAACCCACACTCCGTTTTTGATGAACATGAAAGTTATATTGATTTCCTGTCACTCCGCTGGGGATTCTGATGCATTTCTCCTTAAGAATTCAGCAAAAACCAGCTGATAGAGTCTCCCTCTTGGGTGAAAACACGAGATTTGCTTCTTTTCACTTTACCTTCTATAACCAGTATTGTGAAGACCATAACATTTCCATTTTACGTATTTTTTATTTCCTCAAATTAAAAATATTATCATGTTCAAATTACATGCCCTTGATAATTCTGATACACACCAGTCCCCAGCCTGTACCCACCATCACCACTACCTTCACCCTCCCTGTTAGAAATTTTATCTTTTACCTCTTCTATTTCTGTCTCTTTTTTCCTCTATTTTTTTCCTTTTCGTGTTATCTTCTCCTTTACCTTCTCCTTCTGGGTGGACCACAAACATGCACACACACATATGTATGTATACACATACCCATTTTAGAGACCTCGTCACCAGTGTTCTGATGCCAAAAATCTTCATTTCCCATACTTAGTTCTTTCTTCACATTTCTCCACCTCGGAAAATAACACAGACTTCTGCTCTGGTGCTCAAGATAAAACTTTGAGTTATTTTTAATACTTTATTTTCCCTTACTTCTATTACTCAATCCATCCACAAATCTTACTGATTTTTACTTTCAAATATATATCACATTCATTCACTCTCTACAGTACTTCTGTTTGCACTACTTTAATCAAAGCCCTATCATTTCTCACAGCAGCAGCCCCCTAATTCATCTCACCCCTTCCATAATTGTCCTCCTGGTTTATTTTCAATGCAACCAACGTGATCTGTTGAAAATAGATCATATCTTATCTCTCTCTTTTGCATTAGGATGAAATGCAAAGTGATTAATTCAGCATCCAGGCTCTGCATGACCCAGCACCTGCCTGCCTCTTGAACATGTCATTTTGCTCTTCTTTCCGCTGTTCACACTATCACATTGACCTTTTTATTCACAAAGAAATTCACCAAATTTCTTTCCACCTCAGGTACTACATTCCTTTCCCTGAAACTAAAAAGTTCTTCTTACATGTTGCATAGTTAACTTCTGGTCATCTTAGAGCAAGCTAAAATTGTACTTGCTCAGGGAAGCTCTCTGAAGGAGATCACCAGGTCCCCTATCTTTCTCGTTCTCTTTCCCTCAGTCACTTTCTCTCTCTCTCCCTCTCTCTCTCTCTCTCTCTCTTCTATAAGACTCAAGCAATTTATAATTGTACAGAGACACTAAATGTCTGTCTCAGGGCTGCACGGTTAGCTCAAGAAGCAGAAATGTGTCCATTTTGTATGCTGCCAGATTCCTAGCCTTCACACAATGCCCAACCCACCCAGGACTCAAAATTATTGTGTGAATAAGTAAACAAGGGAAGAAGATCTGCAGACAAACAAACAGGTACCTGTTTCTGGAACAGGTCATAGCTCAAGCTATGCTTTACCCAGCTCTTAACAGGTACATGAAACTGCCCCATGAATGAATGGATTATGCATGAAAACAAATGATAATGACTAGAAGTCACTTTGTATTGCAGACTCACATGAGTTATTTGAATAGTCAGTGTCTACATTGTACATTCATTAGTTAGCTGTCAGTTCCTCATGAAGACTCAACAATGCAGAGGTTATTTATTTCCTTTTCGATAGGAAATAACCTCTCCAACCACCTGTTTCTTGAAATGCAGCCAATAATTCAGGACAGATTCAAGAATTCAGGGTCAATTTACTACATCATCACTCGCTTTTCCCACTCTGTCTTGGAGTAACTGATAGAATCTCATGTAGATAGGAACATACATAGTTGAGCCTTTATCCTAGTCTAATAATGCTGAGAAAGCCTATTTGCTGTCTTAATGGGTCTGTGTCTTATTTCAACCCACGGTAAAATAAAAGTATTTTAGAATTTTGAGCCCTGAAAGAGATATTACAAGAGTATACTTATTAACTCTTTCAACTAGGATTTATCAAGCACTAACCAAATGCAAAATACTATCTAGGAAAACTTTTTGCAAAGGTACAAGCTGAAAAAGCCAGCCAAAATGTCAGAAGAAATGCTTTAACTTTAAGCTGCAGTACGCGATGATGTGTAGTTTTTAGTGCATTGAGGAACTGCCTGGGTGTATTTCAGAAGTATGCACATATTGATACAGCAGTTACTGCCTCAGGTTAGTATATGAGCTAGTTTGTAGAAAGTCAGCATGTGAAATCACCCTTACATTTGTTCTAATTTAATCCCTAATCAGCATTCCGACCAATAGAGGCAACTCAACAAAATCAGCAACATCAGTCTTTTTAATTCTCTGAGTTTCACTGGAAATGCCCAAGTTTTTGACTCTAAATTGATAACAAACACCCAGAGATAATTTAATTATGTACACAATTAACTTCTGTAAGGTCATCTAAAAGAAAACAGAAAAGTTGTAAGTTTTCCTTGGGAAAGCATTTTAAATCACTTGGCAGAGGGCTAAGGCCAAAGATGTTCAGAGTAACTGACTTTTCAAAACATGTACAATCCAGAAATGGTTAGAGCCTGGAATCAAATTCAAATTTGAAGTTCTATGGAAAACAAATGACATTACTATGAGACTCCTGCTTATCTAGTACAGCTCTTGCTCTTAAAGAAAAAAAGTAGTTATGATGTTGTAATTGCTTTTTCTTACTTTAAATGAGTGAGTTATTCAACTTTCATTGTTCCTAGAGCAAAGAGAATAGTATTTTTGAATGTTTTCTTAGTATATATGGCCTATTTTATGTATTCTTTTACAAAGATTGGCTTAATTATTGTTATTTTTTCAGTTGAAAAACAGAGGCTGCAATAAACCCGATGAAGTCCAATTAAATTATATTGGCAGATTTTGGATAGGAAATGGACTCTGAATCATTACATGAATATAAAATATCTTTACTCCTTAAAGAGAACATATTCATGGGACTTCTAGGTACCAGGTACTGTCCTGGACCCTTGAGATTCAATGTTGAACAATACATTATCTTTTTCCTTAAGTAGCTCATAGACATATACATGGTGAGTTAGTCACTGTGTGGTGTAGATATGCTGAGACCTGTATCTCTAAAGTACCTAGTCTCGTTGTTAAAGGAAAAACTTTACATAAATTTAACAGGGTTTATTTGAGCAAAGGACAATTCATGAATCGGGTAGCATTGAAAATCAAGCCCACCTCCTATTTCCTTCACCTCCCCATAATAACATCAAATTACT